CTGAGGATGATTCGGTAGAGAATGATCGAATGGGATCTTCAGCTGCTTCATAGCCGTCTCAAACTCTGGGGCTTTGTCGGCATAAGCAATCTTGATCTTCTTCAATCCTTTGAAGTGGTTTATTGCATTGACCACGTCCTTGGCAAACCTCTCTTTCGACGGATAGGCCCATATGACGCCTGTGTACCTGTCACGAATGACGAGGATCTCTCGATCAGTACTGATCCCTTGATCAAGGATGTTCCTCGTATCGACAAAATCAAAGGTAACCAGATCCCCAAAAGCTTTGAGCTTTCTCTTGAACGCTCCTCGATGCGTCTTGAAGTGTTTCATCTTTGCTCTGATGCATGACTCACAGTAGGGATTCTTGTAACGGTGTGTGAGTAGATGTTCGATTTTCCTGGCATCTGCTTTCAGAGTTCCTCTTCTCACCATTCTGCTTGCACCGTCAACAATATCCACCTCGATGTCATCTGCATCATCATCGTCAGCTTCTGGTTCACTGTCTCCGGCGACATCTGATCCTACCTCATCTTCTTCTCCAGGAGATGCCTTGAACTTCTTATTCCTCTTTCGTCTTTTGACTTTTGGAGGCTCAATCACAGGGAGGTCGTCATCATCACACATGACGCCTTGAGGATCCACATCACAGTTGATGAAAGCCGATTGGTAATCAGCTTCACCTTCTCCTAGGGTGAACCTTGCGATCATCTCCGCCCTTACATCGTCGGTGGGGTTACAGAAGTCACTGCCCTTGACAATATATGGGATGTTTCCCTCTACTTCTAACATGATTTTCTTGTAGTTCGGGGAAACCATGTACGGGTTGCCGCAGGCTGGCCATATGAATGTGTAACCTTCCTCCATGCATTTCTTTCCAACAGACAGTACTGAAGGAGACTCATCTAAGACGAATGGGGAGTAGGTAGAGTCAAATTCGTCGAAATGAATGTCGGCGACTCCCTTTGTGGATGTCACTCCATTTGCGGTATAGAATGACATTGATTGGTCGCTTTCTCTCACTTCCAGACCTAATTTCTTGGCTCTGCCTTTCGATATCAAATCATACCCACATCCTGTGTCCATGATGAACTTTGTTCTTGACCCTTTGGCTGGAATAGACAATGTCTTTGTGTCTGCATGATCTTTCTTTCCCTCGCATACATGAGGAATGACTTTATGATGGAAAACTAGGCCGTCATCTTCGTCAAAAGACATAGTGACCGCTAGGTCACCCTTTGGTCCAACTGGTATTCGGATCCTCTTGATCTCAGTGTAGGGGACCATCAATATGCCTCTTGCCTCTGCGATCTTTTCTTCAAATCTGATTTGTTCTTTCCTCGTGTAGCAGGTGAGCTCTTTCTCATCGTATCGTTTGATGTCTGGACGTAGAGGTTTCCTTTCTACTACCTTCCATTTGTTCCTGACTGAGTAGATCGCTTCGTTCAACATGATCTCACAAGTCTCTTCATCAAAGGATACTTTTGCACCTCCTTCTCTTGCCTTGGCGGATGCAGCAATCCCTTCATCTTCGGATTCGTCCATGAAGAGTTCACCGTCAATGGCTGGGGCTCCAGGCTTCGCCTTAGGCTTCGGTTTGGGTTTTGCCTTGGGCTTTGGCCTATCGTCTCCTGAGTCAGCTGGTGCAGATATCCCTTTCTTAGGAGAGGCTTTTGGGTCATGGTAGAACTTGCAATCCTTCCCTTTGTCACAAGTTCCTCGAATCCACATCCAACATACTGGCTTGTCATTCTTTCCGACAGAAGATCCTCTGGATGGTGATCTGGGTTTCTTGTGACTGAATGGGCAATCTTTCCCCATAGTGCAGTTACCTTTCACGAAGTATTTGCATGGTATCTTCTTCTTGTCTGTACTCGGACTTCGGCTGCGATCCTTTCCATCACCTTTACCTTTCCCCTTTCCCCTTTTGTTCTTGTCTTCAGGATGCTTCTTGGGATTGGGTTTCGGCTTCACTGCAGCAGCGTCTTCTGAGACAACCTGTTCTTGTTGCCCTTTTGGTTTCTTCTTCGGATCAGCTGGTGCAGCTTTCAGTTTTGGAGCAGGTCCGCCTGGTTTGAAATTCTGAAAGATATTGGCCACATTCTTCACTGCCTTCTCCTTTTCCAGGATCATCCTGTCTTCAGTTTGCCGTTCGATGTGCCTTCTGATCATATCACGTAGATGTTTGTATGTCTTCTTGGCATCATCGTCGTTCATGCTGTTGTAGGCGCTGATGTCGTATGCCATGAGGTTTGAGTTCCTGATCTTTCTCCATAGGAGATCCCGAAGAGTTTCGTCGCTCGGGACGTCAACGGGCTTCATTCCTGCCAGAATCTCATCCCAAGTATGGAAGAACAACGATAAGTTCTTGTCTCCTTGATATTCTAGTTGGTAGAGGTGCATTGAAGTATATAAGACTTCCACATTTGATGTTGTCTTGAAATTCATAAGGATCAGGGCTAGGACCTCTCTTCCCTTTATGAGGCTTGATGTTCTCCCTTTTGCATTGATCCTCGTCCTCAACTTCATAGCTACACCTGAACCATCATCTTTCGCATCCATGACGACCTTGGTAAGAGCTAGGCCGAGTTTGGCATCGATTGAATGGAATCTTTGGTCTCCTGAGTCGACAAACTTGTCCGGATCAGGATCGTCCATGGCTTCTTTGATCCAGTCGATCCAGGGCTCTTGATCTGAATCATTGGCCGCAATGATGATCGATTGAATGAGATTTGCCTTCCATAGTCCAAGATCATTGATCCTGGGCCATGACGGAACGTTTATCTTTGATTCTTCCTTCCTCGATACTTTCATGATTGTAGAGGTTGCCGGTGCAAGATGAGATGAAGAGGATGCTTCTGCTTCTGAAATCTTGTCCCTCAATGATTTGTTCGCCTCGGATAGCTCAATTGATTTCTCCCTTTCCTCGGCGTACTCATTGTGGGTTTCGGCATACCATTCATACATCTCATCTCGGCTCTCTGTCATTTCATTGTACCCGTCCTTGTAGTGCTTCGCCTCCTCTTTTGCGTTCCGAATCTCATCTTCCTCGGACGCGTGGGTTGGTAACCCGCGGTCTCTGGAACTAGGACGCTTGCTGTACCGAGAGACTATGGGTGCCATTCGTGCTTCTGCTTTTAATTTCGCATTTTCCATAATGACATTCTTTGTCTCCTTCTGGCTTTCCAATAGTGCATTCTCCAGTTCTCTGATCTTCTGTTGAATTTCAGCACCATCATCGCCGAACATAGGAGCTCTCATCATATTCTCTCTTTTCAGCTGTGCGTTGGCTTCGGATAGAGCGAGGTTGGCGTCTTTCAACTGTTGTCGTTCACGGATGGAACCTTCTAGGACTTCGTTGTTGAATATTTCTCCTTTTGCGATAACCTCCTTTGCGACGTTTGCTTCGTATTCATGGTGGCTCGCCTTCATTTCTGCCATTTCTTTAGCAGAGACTTCAGTCTGGCATACAAATATCTCCATCCTCATGCCCACTTCCATCTCTTCTATCTCCGCTCTCGCGTTGAGTTCAGCTCCACGTGCCATAGCTAGTTGACCTCGTATATGATCAATAACCATAGCTTCCTGATTGCTCTGATCTTGAGATGAGTGAACACTGTGTTGAAGACGTCTTTCCCTGACCTCACTGTTCCATTGTTCTTCTCTCTGGTGTTGGATCACCTCGTGCATATTGACATTCTCATCCTGTAGCGCAATCATTCTAGCTTGTATCTGGTCAGCTATTCCGACGAAGGCTGTGTTCTCATCCTGAATGGCTTTTGATCTTCTATTGATCGCCAATGAAGATTCATTCTGTTCTTGGATGTGTCCAATTGCTGCTTGAAGCTCTTGGGACATTCTGTCCTTCGTTGCTTTCACAGATTCAAGCTCTGAATGTTCTTGATGAGTTTCTTGTGCAAGCTCTTGATATCTCATGTAGATATGTTCAGCTGTCGATTCCGCCAAGCGTAGCTTGTGTTCGAGCTCTTCAATTCTTATTGTCGCTCCTTCATCTTCCTGTGTCATCTCTTGTAGATGTTCCTGCATCTTCCTGTTGTAGTCAGACATTTGCCTGAACTCCACTTCAGCCTCGTGGTGTAGTCGTGAGTATCCGGCTTGGATGCATTCATATTCTTCATGAAGAAAATTGTATGCGTTTCTCGCCGATCTCAATTCTTCACCCAGCTGAATCTCTCTTCTTTGCTCTTTTGTTCCTCTATCATCGTCACGTCTCTTCTCTATACTCCTTCTTGGGGATCTCGCGGTAGACGTTATAGGCGATGTAGATCTTGTTGTAGCTCTCATCGATCTTCTTGGTCCTACGGGTGCAAGATCGGTCAGATTCCGAGCCGGTGGCACGGATCTTTCCGAGATTTGTGATCCAGTAGGCATAGTGATAACGTCAGCATTTGCTGATGAATCAGTACCCATTGTAGAGTCTGGTGACGAAATGGTGTTGGGACCACCAGGAGCAGCGAATGAATAGGGTTCGCTTCCATTTCCTCCTGAGCTTGACATTGCAGGTTTCTGTAATGACTAGTCTTGTTCTTGGTCTCGTGTAGCTCGTACGGCTATAAAGAGCGCGTACGGCTGATAACCTGCGAGTGGATCTTAATCAGCGAAGTTTGAAGCTATCACTGACGATCCATAAGCGGCGTAGCGTCGGAACGGAAACCGCACCTTTTCTAGTCGCTTGATCCTTGAGCCAAAGTACATATGGTACATATATATGTACAAGTTGCACTGTACGTGTCGCTGCACTTCCATTCGCAAAACCCGTGTTAGGAAGTCAGTACACAAACAGTTCTGCAAAATCTGGCAAATTGTTTTGTCCAAGTCAATCCAATGCCAGGGAGCAGAAATTCAGAGTTGGAAGGCCATCTCAAGATTGCTCCCTTCTGAAGGACATGTCTGGTGACCCACAAGCCATCTCAAGCCACATTCATCGTCCCATACGAAGCTCCTTCTTGGTTAGGTCCACTAGGTGCTGAGTCCTGGGCATCCACTGATGGGCTTTGTTTCACCACATCTTCCTGGGCGAACGGTGGGATTGCACAGTTTCAACAGGGCAGCAGCGCCCTCTCACTACTCGGTACCCTGGACGTCAAAACAAACACAAGGACCGCAATGGAACATTTGTGCTGTTTTCATCTTCCGGTGTATGACATGCCCCCACTTCAAAAATAACACTTGCGACAAACATCAATGTACTTTGGAACGGGAACTGCAAAGCTGCAAAATGCCTGCATCTGCCATTGCACCACCCATCATTGTGACATGAATCATGGATCATAGTAAAGCCACCAGGCTTCTTTCATCTTCTTTCTGTGTTCAAGCTAGCTAGTCGACACGCTCGCACGTACATGAGAAGCAGCAAATGAGGCCTATTCTTGAGTACATGGCTTGCATGGCCGCACAAAAACCTAAAATGATCCTGATCACAGAAACAGCCCCCGCCTTTACCTTCAAGAGCTTCTCCATACGCCGTGCACCCAGGATCAACTTCTTGGCCTGAGCAATCAAGTGAAGCGGCCCAAAAGTCTCCAAGCGGATCATAGACTTGGAACGGACCTAATCCCCTTAAATTTCATGAAGAAACATGGTCTATGTTCGATCAGGAGTCTGCCCAATGCTACCCACCTCAAGTTTCCCCTAAGCTCACGCAGACTTGCCGCAAGGCGACACCGGCTTTCGCCAAGTGCAGGGCGACAACCGCCCCCAGCCCTTCGGATGCACCAGTGATTGCACAGGAACTACCTTGGCACTTGGAATGTTCGGCTTTGTGGCAATCAGCCCCTTTCACTTCATGCGCTTTAAACACCTCACATGCTCGGTGAATTGTCAAATGTCAAATCAATATCTTCAAAGACAAGCAACTTGTTGTAGTAAAAAAAGAGAGGGTCTGAGAAATCTGGTGTACTTGTTGCTGGCCAATTTCAAGGCTTCTTGGGACCTTTTGCAGCAATGCTGCCATCTATGTTGTAGACTTTCCGTGGCAGAAATGTCACCACCAGCAGCAGCACTAAAGGCCTCACTGAAACGGAGCAGTCCCGCCATTCCACATCATCCGTTTGCCTGTCAAGGTCCCAAGTAAGGCTACGGTGAAATCAAACTGCATCGACTAGCAGCTGACTAGCAGCTACTTATCGTGAGAAATAGTAGTGTTCCAAGATCTCTGAATGATAAAGGTTGGCGATGGCTGAACAGAGTGCACGTCCGGCTGCACGGGCCCAAAGAAGGAAACGAACAAGTTCCGAGCACTTCCCATGGAGAGTCGAGGTTGTGGGATCAAAGCTGGCAGCCATGGGACACCAGCAGCAAAAGCAGGAGAAAGCCTGCATGTCACAAGAAGCTTTTGCAACTTTCTGTTGGAAGTGTGTCACAAATCAGTAATTGTGCACAAGCACTTGCTCCAAATTATTTGTGCCTTCTTTGGACAGTAAGAGTATGTAAGAGTAAAATGATGCAAAATGGATTATCTGAATCTGCAGCGAAGCGTTGAGACCCAGGATTGCACATGTGTGTTTTCCCGCAAGCCTGCCGTCAGCGACATCAGCCGTAGAGTTGTCACCAGCCCACGGCTTTTGTGCCAAAACAATTAAAGTCCACATGTCCACATGCCAGAATCAGTCAAGAGGTGTGCAGGATCCAAGATCCAATTATACTCCCTTGATCTCCTTGTCTTTTTGGCATTAACCTCATACAACATCTCTGTAGGACCTGTAGGAGATTGAAGAGTGTGGTCAAGAGCTGAGCTGGCGGCAAGACTTTCTCCTTGACACAAGGCGGCTAGGCATGTGCTGCACTGACTGTACTCTGATAGTTTCAGACTCATGTGCTGCACTGATGGAAACAACACTACATTAGATTGGCAATGGACCATATCAAAAAGTTCTGTCGCAGGTCAGAAAAAGGGCCCTCCAAAAGTAACCATGTAGTGTATCAGAGTATCACGATTATCGTATGATTGTGTGATGGAACATCCAAGTCATTTGAGCGGTGGTCGAAAACCTTTAGTCTTGGCCTTATAATCCTTCTTTGCTTACGCGTCGGCTTCCGCAATGCTTACGCTACCAATGTGTTCGCTTACGCGGTGGTTTTTTCTCTTAGGTCTTACGCAGTTCTTACGCAAACAGGGCCCTTGAGAGATTGAGTCCACAACCCTTTTCTGCTTGCTGTGTTTTTCAGCAAAAAACTACACAAAGTATATTGGCAGTGTAACTAGAAGACTCAAAAATGCTTACGCACCTCTTACGCATCGAGTGTCCTAAGCTTGGCTTCCACCGAACCTTACGCAACCCTTACGCCGTGCAGACTTTAGCTTACGCGACAGTCTTGCAATTTAATCGGATCATGCGGTTTTTGCATAGAGGTTTTGAACGCTGCTCATTTTGCCCTATGTATTCTAACATATTCTATTTGTGCTCTTGTTCCATCCTATTCCCTTGACTGGGTCTTTCTTTCAGTCTCTCGTTCTCACCCTGAGAGAGTTCATCGCCTTCAGTGCACTGGTGGCATCCGTCGCGGCATTCAGCGAATGGAAGCGCCGCACCTAGTGTCGCACCCAACGACAGACCCAACAGCTCAACCAGACTCAACCAGTGACGAAGTGGGAAGGATCAATGCCGTATCACCAGTAGATGCCTGTAGAAGTGCTGTAGAGGTCCTGTATCAGGTCTTTTTTTAAAATGAGACATAATGAAACTAATAGCGATGGCCTCCACCTAATAATCACGTGAAACTACCCGTTTGAGTCCAACAACTTGGTCGTCCCCTGAGTCCCCTGGACACTGAAAAGGGAAGCGGCATCAGCGTCATCCTTGCTTGGTCTCACATCCCAAATCGCTTCAGCTCAGCACCACGGATCTCAGGAGCAACAGCAGTTGTTGCCGAGCTTTGCTAGCAACCTGAAGCAGTGATTCAGCTGCATGAGATACATTGCAGGAACCCATGAGCATTGATGGAAAAGCTCACAATCAATTGGCCCACCTCGGTGCTAAACAGGTCGCTTCCTTTTGAGCCAAGGTGCCAAGGGTCTCTTGGGGTCGAAGGCGGTGCGAAGGAATCGTCGGAGCTCCTCCACGGAGGCGGTCTCAATCACCTGGCGAAATAGCAGTAGCTAGAACGCTACTAGGAACGAAGGGCATCGCGACTAGGAGCAAGGATGCTACTAGGGGCTCCTGGCATCGCTACTTGGAGCAAGGATGCTACTAGGAACAAAGGGCATCGCTAGCTTGGCCAGTTGAGGCTTAAGGGTGTCCTTGGTGACTTAATGGAGTCTTCGACGCATGGTGCTTTCCTGAAACAAGAAGCTTCCAATCTGCCTCCTTCAAATCCCTGACAGCTCGCTCGGCCTTGATGCCAGAGGGACAAGAATGTCTTCCAAATGACTGGGGTGTGGTCGAGCGGGTTTGCTTCCCATTCCAGTCTAATTACTTTGGATTTCACATTGCAAGCAATTGTAAACGCACCGGTGAAAATCGCTGAACTTCATACTGTCATACAGTATGTTATGTAGGTACCACATGGTACCACTGTAGTCAGAAGCCAGGATCACGTGCACTCGTCGTGGAGTTCTTCAGACTGGAGATGCTCGACGTCAAACACACGCTCATGAAACAGCAAACTAGGGAAGTTGCTGTGTGCTTGTGCTCAAGCCTCTCCAAGGATTGCAAAACCTCAACCAACATGACCAACTGCAAAGAGGTTGCACATGATTCACATACGACACTCAATGCAGTGATGCCGAGCCTTGGAAACTACCAATTGGACAAGGGACCAGAATCATCCACATTCTATGATGATGATTGACAAGTGATTGACATGACTTTGGTTGTGGTTGTAGAATGTGGATCATTCTTGTCCCTTGTCCAATTGGTAGTTTCCATGGTTCGGCAATGTCAATGAAAGCAAGCAGCAAGCTGCCTCCCAGAATTGAGCGTACCTGTCCCTGGTGTGTCCATCTGCCCTGAGCTCACTGACCACATGCTCTCTCTCCCGGTCCCGCAGATGTGCCCTCAGAGAAGTCCCGCAAGTGCAAGCTGGGGAAACGCCAACATTGCATTTTCAGCAAGGAGTAAAGACATGCGTCTTGCAAGGAAACATGCTACAATTGTAAATGAACAAAAAGTTGGCAAAATCAAGTTTGGTCAAACTCTCGGGCATCGCACACGGAGGGCGAAGTCTTGGCACGCTTGCTGCTAGATCCTGATGCATTATCCATAGTAAGCGTCGCTCTGCGAAAAAGTGCAGAATGACAAAAGGTGAAACACAGCTGCCTATGAACAGATTTGGGCGCATGTCTTGGAGCACTCAAGCTGATGCTAGAATCTAAATGTCAAAACAAATCGGCCGTCACCCTTCACGGACCATCGGGAGGTATCGGTTACCAGTGGCTCCTACTTTGGAGTTTTGCCGACGGAGCTCTTGAAGGTATTGCCTGGCCAGCATGTCTGTAAAGCAAGCCTTCAAGTTGTAGTGCGCAACTGTCTGCCCAAATGATGTCACATCGTGGTTACATCGCGATTTTCACTGTACGGGTGCGGCAAACAGGAGGGGTGCACGAGTGATCCGCCTTGGCGGAGTCGAGCACAATTTACTGATGTGGATGCATGAGATTACGCAAAAGGATGCAATTTGTTGAAACAGCAACGCCTAAATGTTCTGGAAAAGGCATCTTCCATCTTCTGTAGCACAAATTCGCTTCTAATAGCTGGGGCGGTGGCTTTGAAAGGATTTGGACCTTTTGCGTCACCTGAAGAGCAGCATAGCGCCCGGTGAATGGCGCACGGCAGCAAACGTTTGCAAACACCCCATGTGCTTCTTCAAGATAAGATCATCAAGAATCATCCTGGATCCAAGTCTGCAGTCCTTTGACTTCCAGCATGCAACACAACAATCCCCAATCCTCCCCCATCCACCTCCTGTACCTTCTAGATGCTCAGCAACTCGTGGGGCCTCAAATGCCAATGCCAGGATGTCAGGCGATGCGAATACTGGTGAAGCTTTCCACTGATTCAAACTGACAATTTCAGGTGTCCCCACGCTGGTAGGTCGCAAGCCCCCGCGGCTAGGAGCCATGTGGCCTAGACTATGCAAGGTACAAAAGGAGAATGGCAAGATTTGGTCAAGGTGATGCAACCAAGTTCATGTTGGTCTTTCAAATTGCAGACCCGTCATTGGCCTGCGATGCGAGCCGGTCACCTATCCATCAGGACAGCAGCAGGGATCTGCTTTGCAGCGCTGCAAGCCAAATGTCACTTTCAAGACCAGCAGCTGCGCGCAACACACACACACAAGCGAACGAGCGTGAGCGCTGTACATTCTGGTTGATACCTATATGGCCGAGCTTTGGTCTTTCCAGGTTGTTGCTGCTGTTACAAAGTGTACAAAGTGTCTGGCTTCTGATGGTTTTATGACTGTGACTAGTATTGGCTAGTTGTCCCACCCATCTTCTGCAAGGATGGAGGACGCGCACAAGAAAATACCGTCCAGATCAGTGCCGCGGACAGAATCTATGACCTCGGCCAGTGAAGCACCGAGCTGTGTATCAACACTGGCAATTGAATTCGAAATGGGCAGTATCAGAACTGAGTCAACCTGAGCGAATGCCAAGAGTGTGAACTGCAAATGCGTAACACTCATCAGAATAGACAAGCAGACCATGGAACAAAGCCTGTGGCTCTGTGGACTCTAGGTAACCAAACTTTGATTAGATCTGGTGTTTCACGAAGGATTTGATATGGGACCCTGCACGAACCAGGAGGTCTACGATAAGGTCCCCGCAGCTTTCCACTCTGCGACTTCCGCGGCCGAGTGCTGAGCACTGACCTAAGAAGATGTTTGCTGGATGGATTCAGAGATATTCAGAGAACTCCAGTCGGACGCCACAAAACTCCAACAGCTGCATATGTTTCATCGTTGCATGAGACTGCAGCGATCTTGAACTCAGCTTCAGATGTGGCGCAAAATCATGCCAAGATACGCCAAGTAAAGCCCTAAACCGCGAATGCCAAAGGTCAGCATTGTCTGCATTTGGGGCAAGTTACTCTTGGGAGTTGCAGCCCATCAAGGGTAGGAGTTTTTGCAACTACATTACATAGGACTTGTGGACCACGCAATGGCAAACCTCGTGCAAGAAGAACCTTTTTCTGGCTTACCAAGGAGTGACCAGCAGCTAGCAGGGCAGGCTTTAGGATCGCACATCGTAGAGCCAAAACACGGGTCTCTTCTTTGGACCCTGACAGCTGCACTGACGGCTGCGCTACGGCTTCAACATACTTCCACCACGTCTTGAGGGTATTGCAAACGATGCCCAGAATCCTGAGCATCTTTGATCTATCTATGGTTGAAAGAAAGCCAGTTGTGCGCAAAAGGTGTTTTGGGGACACCAAATGGTGGAAAGAGCTACTGGTTCGATTGCACTCATGACTCCTGGAAATCTACGAAATGTGTCTACTGATCTAACGCTCCCAATATTTCAGAATGACATGATCAAGTGAATCAAGTCAGAGAAATTGGGTAAGGTGGCGCTTAGCTGAGGATCTGCAAAAGCGCTGCCGGGAGCCTCCCGGAAGAGTGCAGG